AAGGGCTGACTCTTAATTCCACATTCGAGTGTTTGTACTCTCTAGTCCCTGCTACTTGTGTACTCCAGTGATTGATTTATTGTTCGTGTTCCCATTAACGTTTTGGGCACGCACAACTCTCTTTTTGCCTCGGAGCTCTTGTCGCCTTTATACGAACAAGCCTCAGCTGGACCCTATAATAAACGAGTTGGGCTCGACTACTTGGGCTAGCTAGCCGTATGGTTCAATTTCAAGTACACCCAAAATGGGTCGTCTGTTGTTCTCTTTCACACATTCGGCCTACCTTATTCTATCCCTTGAAGGATACGGGTTGTGGTTGTTCAACCAAATAAAGATGCCGGGAGGGAGTTCTGCGATCGACGTGGAAGCGAGAGAGAAGATTGGCAGGCAGGCAAGGCAAGGCAGCCCAAAGGGAGGACGACTTTTACCGCGGCATGTGGCTAGGGAGAGAATTAGAGTAGAAGAAACAGTAAAAAAAAAAGTAAACGGAGTGAGAAAGAGGAGACAGGCAAACTATTTACAGATCACAACACCATACAGAGTCACCCTCAAGACCCAACACGCACAAACTCAAGCACACACACACACAGACTTGAAAAAAAAAAAATCCACTTTTTCCGAAAAGAAAGCGGCGCTCGCAGATCCTCTCTCTATACACGCCACGCCTGCTATCTCCCTCACTCTGAATATTTTCTTCTTTTTTATCTCCATATCTCTGACAGTAGCGATCGTTCATAAATTTCTCCTAGCCAGTTATTACTCGTTGCTGTTCTTGTGTCGCTCAATCTATAGGCATAACTAGCCAGTCACCCACTCTCACCTTTCAAATAAATAAAAATAAAAAAGGACATATTCTAAAACAAGCGCATTGTCATGCACGGCGTGAGGCTTCTTGCTTTTCTTTCCAGTTGTGTTTCAACAATCCAGTCCCAAAAGAGTGTTTGATTGGATCGACCAGATTTGTTTTGCTTACCCTTCCAATTTCAATTCCTGTTCATCTAGAACGACACCACATCTGTTGAGAATTGAAATCGATATTCCATCGTTAATATTAATTATTTAAAATAAGATCCAAGAACGGTATTTCTTATAAATATAGACTTATTAATAAAGAAGAAACTCACTTGCTATACGCAGGAGAAAATCGTTTAAAAATAATTAATTTAATTATCCACAGCTTTTAAAACCATCGGAGAGCAGAGTGAGAGTACTGTAGGGTTTTAGGTGATATTAATGCAATACAGGAGAGCACAGATATACTAGGGAAGTAGGGAAGAAGCAGAGCAGACAGCTTTTAGGGAATAGGTGACACACATGACGAGGCAGCTGACACTTAATTTCCCTCGAGCCCTGTGTTCGGAGGCTAAGTTAACCACTAATTCTACCCTAGCCTCTCCACGTCACTACAAGTTTTGCGGTTTTCTTCGGACTCCCTTTTTGTTTTTTTCCTTCCTCTAACACGACGATGAGTCATGGAGCACGCGCACTTGTTTTCTCCGCCATACACGCTCTGTGTCTTTGCTTTCCACAATCGGCATTATCAATTCTAACAAAAACAATTAATTTTCCGTCCACTTCTTTCAAATTCTCATTGGCAATCTTTATTTTTTTAAAATATTACTATTACCATCAACTTGCATCGATACCAGGGCGATGCCAGCATCTCAGCTTATGTTTATGCTCTAGTTCACTTCATGTCTCTCTATATCGAGGAGGTAATTAAGAGGTCAAATGCTATAATACAAGTATTAGAAACTTCTTCCTCCAATATATTAGTGATTACTTTTCCTGTCTCGCTACAAATTAAGGGGAGCAACTTCCCCCCTTCTCGTAGGTGGTAAAAAAATAGCAAAAAGTAAAGCAAAAATATCTCCATCCACTCCGTCATTATCCCTTTTTTTTAGCAGAAAGTTATTTCCACTCTGTTGTAACGTGTTCAGATTAGCAAGAGTTTTTTGTACAAGTTTAGAGGCTTAAATATATCAGAATGTAGTGAATATTATTATTTAATATATTTTTCTAGTTGAAAATATATTAAAAAATATATTTTTTATTTTATAATACTTATTTTTGATACCATAACATTAAAACAATATAAAAAAATTCAACAGTCGGATCACGATGCAAGGAATATGAAATTAGCTCATGTCCACAAATGTTAATTTGGGTGTTGATTTTATAAATGCAAGAAATGGATATAAATTCGGACGAGGCTTAAAAATGGAAGAGGCCGCATGAACGAAAATAGGGATGCACGCAGGCATGATTATCTATCTACTATGCTGGGTTATTACAAGAAAGAAGGAAAAAAATCAGGGTTTTTCTCGTTCAAAGACACAGACTTTATATACTATGTTATGTTTTTAAGAAGAGAGAATGGTTTGATCGAAATCATATCCTGACCCGACAGACAATTCTGGGATGGGGTCTGGCGCGTGGGTCTAGAAGATTTATGTTGGATTTTGGAATGGAACTAGAAAAAAGAAGCCTGGGACAATCCACAGCTCAGAGCCCCATGGTAGAAGGACTCCACACGCACACGTGTCTCGAGACGTATGGTCCTGTGAAAAAACAGGAAAGGGAGTGTTGAGGGCGGTCGCTCCGGATTCGGTAGTTTTTAACATTTCTAGTGCAAAGGTATAATAACAACATTGGCTCCACAGATCATGTTTTTTTTTTTTTTTTTTTTTTTTTTTGTCAAGGAAAAGAATTTTGTGCCCATTCAATTCACTATTACACTCTCCTTAAAGTCCTCACCAGCGGATCTTATTCCTTAAATATTCTTAAATAATTTTTTGTTTCCTTTTTTATTTCTCTTACTGAAATTAGCAAGTGGTGATTTTCTTCGGTTTCTTTTAACAAACTCCCATCCTATGATTTAATAAAAGCACGGCTAAACATAATGGCACATAGTTTATTAAAACAAATTAATATGACTTTTTAATTTGATTCTATTTATTTTTATATTTTAAAAATATTTTTATTTTAAATTAATATTTTATTATTATTTTATTATTATTTTAATGCGTTGGTATTAAAATAATTTTTTAAAAATAAAAAAATTTAATAATTTTTTAATAAAAATATTTTAAAAAACAACAAATACACTCCCAAACAATTCCTTACCAAATACCAACATGATTGATGGTGAGATGTGCCATATTACCTACTAAAAAAAGACTTGGGCTTAATTTCTTGGTTTCTTATATTATCACATGGTTTAGATCCCTTATAAACCTTCTAGGGTGTTGGTTTATATTGTTTAAAATATTTTTTATTTTAAAAAAATTTAAATTAATGTTTTGTATGTGATTTTTGATGATTTTATTGTCTTAATAAATATATTTTCAAGTAACAAACTTTAAATATAAAATTGTTAATCTAGTGTAGGTTGATTTTTAAAAGTATTTTTTTAAAAATATATTTTTTATTTTTTAAAATTTATTTTTAATGCCAATAAAACTACAAAAATTAAATTAAAAAAAATTCGAGGCAGCACATTGAAGTATGCTATTGTTGAAAAACCAGAAGGTCCCCCGTCTACAATGAAGAGGACTGGTCCCCCAATCACTCATCTATCTAATAAGATGACATACATTTGACAGTTGATAGGGATTTGCAGCTTTGCAGGCTTAGGGGAAGCCATGGCCCCCCACCATCCAACCCCAGCCAAACGAGCTTGAGATTTTTCGGTGGCAAACTCCAAAAAGTAAAGCACGAAAAGAATGAAGAAGACAGGCAGAGGGAAGGAGAAGTACTTTCGGCTTGCTTGGGCCCGTTTTGCTTTTCAATTTTAGGCTTCTAGCCCACTTGAGACAAAATAGTTAGGCACTTTGGATTTTGACAGAAAATATTTAAAACAAAAATGAATAAAATAATATAAGAAACAAGAAGAAGAAGAAGAAGAAGATACTTCCCGGGAAGGATGTAATGGCAGAAGAATGTCATCCTCAAACCATGTTCTTAAATGCGGACTTCGGGACTTCATGGATGTTAGACAATGATCTTCATGAATTTCCTGATATTTTCATTGAATACAGAGAGAAACACTGCTAATAGTATAGGTAAATACATTGTAACCATTAGAAAAAAAATTCCTCGTAATTACTGACACATAATTTCCACAAGAGATAATGGTGCATAGCTGATATCATTTTGATCTAGATTAAGGATGTCAAATAACGGTAATGTGGTGTAATGTCCCTCAAAACATCCATCGTTTGATTGTCATTTAGAATCAGGGTTAGCTAAGTACATCGAAATTAAACTCCTACCTCGTTTAAGCAAGTCTCTATAACATCCTAACTGATACAAATCAACTTACAAGAGCTTATCAAGCTCATTGATGAAGTAAACAAGAATTTCTTGAAATGTTCATTTTCTTGCGATGTCTGAAACTAGAGTAATTATATATGATTACACTCAAGATTGTATTTTGGTGCAATCGTGAAAGCTAAGGATTTTTTTTTTTTTATCGTGGTGCCGTACTGTTAATTGTTAAAAGCATTGCTTTGAGTTTCCGAAGTTATTGGGCCCAAAATAGTAATTTGCTAGAAAGCAATCGCTCCTGGGTTTTGAATAGAGCAAGTTATTGTTCCGGAGTGAAATTAGTCATGGCTGGAGCCTGACTTGAATAACTTCTAGGAGACTGGGAATCATTCAATCATACTCTTGAGATCTAATGGTAAATCCCACTAATTTTATAACTCGTATTCTTGAAGCTTCCCCCCCACAACGAATTATGCATTTGTAACATTTTTTATCCTCGACATAAGATGCCCCGCCTGATGACAACTTCATGATGGGAGCCTAAGAACTAAGAAGTGCAGCAGATGTCTCGCCGATTGCAGCAATATATAAAATAAAGCTTAGAAGGCCTGATCTCAATCACCACCTCGACTTTGTTCATCCAAAGGAAAGTCTCAACTGGCATGCTAAATGTCCAGTGAGATGCTCAAAACTTCCAACACCAATACGATACAAAAATGAAATCAGTCATAGATTTTAGCTAGTAGAAAGGAGATAACCAATCTGAACATTAGATGCCAGAAAACAATAGCATGTTAACATGAGGCATAGCATCGCATTCAAGGGAAGAAAAGACAGCATGCAGGAATCAAGGCTCCGCACAACGTTGGCATTCAAGAGTACGAAATACCTGTGTGATTATAAGCAATCTACTTGAAAGAAAACACATCAGGGTGCCGTTTCTAAAGAAACATTGGCCCCACTCTGTTCATCACATCTGTAAAAGTCTTAGTTAATTTACAACCAGCAACATAGTAGCCTGATATCACTCCTTGACCCTCAACTTCCACCACCACCACAAATGGTTCTTTGAATTTACACAAGCTTAGTACTGCCCTGGACGATTTGCAAGCTCAGCCTACAAAAAAAAATAAAAAATAAAACGATTTGCAAGCTCAGCCTACAAAAAAAAAAATAATAATTTCGAAACATAATAGTTGACTTTTAGTAAGTAAAATGGAGTTCTAGAGAGCAAAGACAATCCTTTTCTTCTCTATACGAATATCTTGAGTTTCTATAGATGTAGTTAATTGCTACAAAACTAAACAATAGTTAGGCTTCAACATTAACTCTGTAAATAGTTTAAAATAATAAGTGCCATAACCTAATTTTGATCTATTTGCTTTTAATTTAATTTCTTAAAGGAGCTAAAATTACGAATTAAAAGATCATAGACCAAGAGTTATTAAAGGTGTGATTTGTCAAACTTTTGGAAAGATTAGGGACTATAGTGTGTTTTTTGTTTAAACAAACTATAAGATAAATTCATTTTCAATTTTGAATCAAATTTAAATTCGAAAAAAAAGGGTAGCGTTTGTGTTTGTTTGGGACTGCAAGACTCTTGTTTTATGATTTTATAAATACACATTCTAGGAGACAAAAAGGAGGGGATTCTACATTGAGAGCAGATCACAAAGCCTTTGGAGAGATAAAAGAAATGTTGACCAATTAGAGTTACTAATAACCATAATACTGGGTGACGACTTCTTAAACAAGACCTTTCCTCTCAAAGAACATGATGTTAGATATCTGTTCTTTTTCTTTTTTAGAACATGATGTTAGATATCTGTTCTTTTTTTTAAAATAAAAAGGTCACCACAACATCGGGCAGTGACAAGATGATTCAGGCCTCTTTGAGATAACAGGACAAAGTGATCCCATGGTATACATTACAAGGCAAGAACACATTATTTCGATACAAAACCATTGAAACAAAGCAACAACACTAATTTCTTGATGATAATAATAAAGAGCAATATCACCAACCAGATTACATTAAAATTACTAGCAAATGCCAGTGTAAGTTAGCAAGGATATAGTCATGGCCCTTATTAGGAAACAACAATTGAATAAGGCTAAAATGTTAAACTGTGGCGCACACCACATGATTTAACTAAAAAAATTCCTACTAAATCATAAGATGATTACCAAAATTGCCATGTGGCTAGGACTAAAGGTAGACTCATGTAGTAAGCTAGACTCCAATTTCACAGCAAACTCCAAAATTGCCATGTGGCTAGGACTAAAGGTGCGAAGTAATGACCCTACAAAGCAAACTCATTTAGTAAGCTCGACTCCAATTTCACAGCAACCAAACCTGTTCCTAGAACAAGTACAGTTGGGAAAGAAATCTGCTGTCACCATGGCTTACTAGAGTAAACATGGGCAGGCACATGACATTTTATAGCAATGGGTGCATGATCCAACATTCTAGCAGAAAATGCAAGCCAACACTCAGATCATAACCTCCTCTGAAGATACATCTAGATGATGCATGCTAATATGCTGTATCTAATCAGAAATTAAATCTGTTAAAATGAGCCTATGCCACAGCAATACACCCCCCTCATTATTTTGGATCTATTTCAGCATGAAATTTGGCAAAACTGCACTGTTTTTACTATGAAAGTATTTCGGGTGGGAAGAGCAGTAAAAGAAATAAAACCATCCCAAAACAACAATCTAGGAAGCATATCGCACCAAAAAGGTAACAACTATTAAAATTTCGAAAAGCAACTGCATTTTGTGCCAAATGGACACCTCAAAATGTGATATTTCCATCACTCTACTCCTGCTTTAGGATATGCAATCAACAAGGCCATAATGACCACCTGGCATTTCTCTTCTGTTTTATTTTTGAACAGGAGAGAGGAGATTGAAAGGAGTCGAACTTCAGACTCCCCTGAAGTGTCAAAAGCACTCTCTCTACCAACCCAATCTATGATGGATTGGTCATTTGGCATTTCCGCCATTCAAAAAAGGCTCCCTGGGATGCTTTTCTATCATGTTCCCAGCATATATACAAGAACACTTCAACCAACAAATATGAAGACACTTAACTTCCTAGGAATATTTTCTTTCAGTTGTATATAAACAACCTAGCCACAAAGTGACTGCTTGAACTGACGCGCCACCTTACACAAGACCTTGATTGAAATCAGCAAAGCTAAAGCCCAGTCATTTCTAAGCAATGCCATACCAAATAGAATCACAGAGCAAAGCTGGCTTCTTAATTACATCAAACAAAGACGCTTCATTACAATTAAACCCTAACAAGCATTCAAATCAAACACATATTCCAACAATAAATTCACAAACCGAATCACAAGAATGCAATACCTCAAAAGCATTCTTCAGATGGTCAAGTTCCTTGTCTAGATCATTGATGGCCTGATTATACGCCTGCATTGGCGATGACTGGCTGGTCGTGTGAATCTACAAAAAACCCACATTCCAAATCGATTAGAAATCAAAACCTCAAAATTATTATAACATGAGAACGCACATTTCCACTACACACACAAAAAAGATAGATACGCTAAGCTTAGAATTACTAACCCTAACGATAATTTTGTACTTGAGAGGGTGAGGCAGCTTGTAACCAGCAAAAAGAACATTATCATCTCTGTGTAATTGCCTAATTAAACAAAATAATAATAATTATTAGAGTTTGATTAAGCTAAGATTAACGAAAACAAAATTTTTCGGAAAAATACATAAGGTGTAAATTACATGCGAAGAATGTTGCCGATGGTGTGGTCTTCTCTCTCTACGGTGAACGACGCAGCATTGATAATTTTCGTATCTCTCTCGTACGAAACCCTAGCAAAGAGAAAGCGAATTAATGAAACGAAATTGGTGATAGAGAGAGGAAGAGGGTGAAAAATACTTTTTGGTGCCTTCAGGGACGACGAATCGCTCATAGCGATCAGGGGCATTCATGGCGTCAAGTTCTTTTGTCTCCTTTTGCTCTGAGCAACACTGTTTGTGCGCGCAGAGCAGGTCGTCTTTGTTTTGTTATTTAAGCGCTTGCTACAAGAACGACTAGGCAGGCAACTACTCGTTTGGGAAATAAAACGACAAGTCTTGTAAAGTTAAGGTGTATTTATTAAAAAAAAAACAATTTTTCCTATTTTCCTAATTTTTCATATCCATTGTTCATCTTTATCCTAGAATATGGTTTTCATAAAAAAAAATATCTAAAATATGAAACAAAATTCTCATTTATATTGTAATTGAAAAAAAAAATTAAGTGAATGATGAATCAAATGATACCCTTGTTTCTTGAAATGGATGTAATTTTCTTGACAAAATAGGTAACGGTAGTATTATTCATGCTCCATGAAACATTAATCCCATTCTCTATTTATTAAAAGTTTTATTAATATATTAAATTATCTCATAACTTTAATGTAACCATGGAGTATATTATCTTGGCTAGATCAAATTTTATTGAAACTTTACTTTTTAATCATGTATTAAAATCCACAAATAATTCAAGAAAAATGTATAAAAATTTATTTTTTAATAATTATAATTCTAAAATTATCTATTGTACTTTGATTATTCTATTTTTATTTATATTGATGTGAGTCATTTATTTTTAAAATTATCCTTGTTTACTATTTTTGTCAACATTGTTCGATATGGTGTTAAATCTTTTAGCTAGCTAAACATAATATTTTCCTAGTCATTATTTGTTTTGAAGTTTCAAAAATAATTGTAAAAAAATTTAAAAAATCACTTTAAATTATTTTTTATATGTTTTTAAATTATTTTGATGTATTAATATAAAAATTATTATTTTTAAAAAATAAAAAATATTATTTTAATATATTTTTAAATAAAAAATATTTTGAAAATCAATTGTTACCATCTTGGCAAACACTACCCAATATAATCCCTCAACTTAAAAGACTTGTTTATCGTAGCTTTTTAGAAGGTATTTAGAAGTGTGGTAATAATTAATTTTTAAAATATTTTATATTATTAAATGAATTAAATTAATATTTTTTATTTAAAAAAATTATTTTTAACATCAACACATTAAAATAATTAAAAAACATTAAAAGATATTAATTTAAAATAAATAAATAAATCAAAAATATTTTTAAAATATAAAAACAAATAGAATATTAATAATGCTTTGTACAATTTATACTAATTTTTAATAAGCTCCAAGAATTGAAGGTTCTCGTTCTGTGATCTAATCGATTTCTCATGGTATGTTTGCGGATGATTGCGGATGATGTTGGTGTAGTTTGTAAATGAATAAAAGAAAAGATGTTTATCCTACATTAGAAAGAAACATTACCTCCTAATGTTTCTAAATGTGGATTTTTATTGTGTAGTAAATTAAGTTATGGTGGACAAACTCTCCTATTTGGCTTTCTAATGTTATTATATGGATATTTAAAATATCAAAGGATATCCTTTGGAGCTTTAAACTCGGTACTTAATATAAACAATTATACTGTTCCATGAAAAGTCTTACTGTTTGATGAACAATCATATTATTTCATTAACAATTATATTGTTTGATAAAGAACTATAATGTTTCATCAATAGTCATATTGTTTGATGAACAATTAAAGGGGTTTATCAACAGTCATATTATTTGATAAACAGTTATATTGTTTCATCATTATGTTTCAAGTCTATAAAAGCATGTTACTACAAAGAAAAGAAATATAACAATAAAATACATATATTTTTTTCTTGGTCCTATCTTCTCATTTTTTAAAAAATTTAAAATATTTAGTTGTATCTTAAAGCTTTTCTTGGTCTTATCTTCTCATTTTTTTTAAAAAATTTAGAAGATTTAGTTATATCTTAAATATATTATCTCTATATAAAATAAATAAACACCTTAAAAACTAATGTTCTCACATCTCTTAACCAACTTCGTATTTATATCCATCCTAAACTTTCCTAACAGATGGCGATGAAGATCACGTAACCAATTATGGCTTTCCGAAACTGCAAAGCATTGACCTCTCCCAGGACAATTTCTCAGGTCAGTTGACCCAACACTTCCTCAATCGGGATGCCATGCACGTAGCTAAAGTAAACGTCTTTGCGTAGAAGGAAGCGAGGATGAACACTGCCTTACCAGTCTCTCCAGCTTAGAGCAATTACTCGTGCTCCAAAATAACTAGCAAAGGAACAGATTAAGAACACTGCAGGATACTAGAATTCTTCTTATACCATTGATATCTCATGCAATACATGAAAACACAGACAAGAAGAGAGAATAAACAAGAAGAAAAGTGTTATTGACCCAAAAGGGTTGCTCATAAAAAAAGAAGAAAAAGAAGTAAATTCATAGTTATTCTAACGATAATTCTTATATTTTGTCTATCTATCTTTTTAGAAGATTTATGACTTCTTAGATAGGTTTAAAACAAACCTTCATAAGATAATAAAGTTATAGTTCTAAAAAAAAAGATAAGATAAAATATTCCAAATTTAACATAACGTTATCTCCGAGGATTAATTTGAGGTTTTTGATGAGGCTAACATAATTTATTTATTTTTTGATAAATTAAGCTTTTAGAATCACTTCAATTTAATAGTAAAATAAAAAATTATAGCTTTTTATTATCAAATTATTGGTTTGATGTGGGGGGAAAATATCTAACTCTATCCCACATGTTGATAAATGTGATTACTAAACCATATGCGCGATTCATTTATGATAAATCGCCATATGATATTACCAAATCTGTACAAGATTATTCAGAACCTTCCCTTTCTTCCGGGCCGACAACATTAGAACTCAAGGGTCTTCGTTCGCTCGTTCTTGCTGACAACCTTGTAACTTGTCACGTCCCATCATCGTCAGGTAATCTTTCCAAGTTTTATGCTTTGGACCTTTCACAGAACAAACTCTCAGGAGAAATTCCTCGGAGTTAACACAACCGACTTTCCTCTCTTTCTTTAATATGTACTATCATAAGGACCTCATGGGTTCTACACCACAAGGAAAGCAATTCAGTGCGCTTAACAACAATCCATACGAGGGAAACTCGTGCGGAAGTCTTTTATCGAAGAAATGTGAAACATCGCCATCATCTTCAAGCTTCGATGAAGATCACGAGTCAGAATCTTCATTTTAATTTGGTTGGAAACCAGTTGTTATGGGGCATGCCAGTGGATTTATAATTGGAGCAGTTATTGGGGACATTGCCTTTAAAACGAAACGTGAATGGTTGCTGAAGATCTTTAGCACAACACAACAGAAAATGAGAAGGATCAGAGCCAGCACAATTGAGACATAGAGATAGAAATTTTCTTAGGCAAGATCCTCCCTCCATGATGTAAAATAGGCATTTCTGTACTCCTTTTCCTTTTTTACCCTTTGTTCATGCTTATTCGTTTGCGTCGGTTGGGCAGGTTTAGATGAGCAGAATGACTGTTCCATGTGAAAACATCTGGTTTTGCATTATAGTTTGAGTAATGGAAGTGGCTTCTGTATCGCCTACGGGGACAGAATTATTACAACTTTAAGACCCTAGGCAATTTGGTGAATGTTTTATCCGTTTACTTTTCATAGACTAGATGTTGGTTTTCTGGCCCGGGTGAGGATTTGTTTAGTGACCAAACTTTCTTCTTCTTTTTTATCCTAACGATTTTTTAAGATATATACAGAGCACCGTTTTTCTTCATGATCATGGAGAATAAACAATTCATCATTTCAGTCACAGAGTTGTCTAGACTTAGAAGCTTGGAATAGATACATGGAAGAAAATCTCTGTAATCAGTGTTTCCTGAAACAGTTCAGTGTTCCAATTATCAAAACTTAACTAACATCTTTTTCACTGTGAAGTTTCCATTTTATGAGTTCGGTAATTAGCAGCTACAATGGCTTGACAGATCAATAATTGGAATATACAGATAAAAACAGTAATACAATTCCATCAACACCTGCAATGCGCCCCTCCTCCTTGTTCACCTCCGCCCATAACTAGGCATCAAGGATGTGAACTTGCCGTCCATGACAACAGTTGATGGCAACAAGGGCATAAATAGATATCACATGTGGAGATCGTCGAATTCTTCATTGCCATTAATCTCTCAAGCAACAGATTTCAAGGGAAAATTCCTAAATTAATGGGGAACCTAAAGGTTCTTGCAGATGAGAGCAACTACCTCCTCGGGGAAAGGAGGGAAAATCTCCATGGTCAGGATACGTTAGAAAAGCACTCCCCAAGAAACCATTTAGGACGGAGAACAAACAATCTCAAGAACAGAGAAACAAAAGAGATTTAAGTGTTTCTCCTAGTAAACGTACGTACTATTGCAGAAAGAGAAAAGGCTACATACTTACTTTGCTACCTAGCCCATTGACATTCGGCTATAGATCATCTATACTTGTTATTACCACATACGTAAAGATAGCTCTTTCGCAAGATAATATGAAAATTGTCACTTTTGTCATGAATGAATCAAAATAGATTAATTGTATTAAGAGAAATGAAACAATTTGGAGTCCATAATATGCTGTCTATTCTAATCAATTAGTACAAAACACATGTATAGGTATCCATATCATCTCTTTTAATTACGGGAGTTCACAGTATAGGCATGCCTTTGGAAGCTTTGGACAGGCTGATTACAGTGGTTCAAAGATCGACTGTCTATCCTTAATTTCTTCGCTTTTAATCAGATTGGTGTTCTTGCATTCCACACATGCATTAATATGTTCTCGATAGATATATATGGAGCTTGTTAATTAGTCAACCAAATTCCTTGAATAAATTAAATTACATCTGTCCTTTATCAGCATTTTTTATCTCCTCTATGCAAAGGATTCTTCTCGTATTATAGTTCACATATATAACAATTGAGAAACAAACTTTAATTAATTAATCAAGCATTAAAAACAGCACGCTCCCACCGAGTATAGCAATGTCTGAAGTTAACTAAAAAGCTAATACTTAAAAGCAGATCTATGGTTTTTCTCACAGCCGGGTATATCCACTAAAGTATTTAGACAGCATAAAACTGCATATACATGTCAATGCTTGATTGTGTTAGTCAAATGCGCTTGTAGTTCTATTAATTATATATAGCACCTATGTTTTCCACCCTTAAGAGGTCTTTGGTTCGGAAAGGGAAAAAAACAAAGCAGCTAGTGACCTAAAACTTAATTCGATTGGATAGGGTACCCTTAACACACTGCTAGCTAGCTACTTAATTAACCATGGAATGATAAGCTGATCATTACAATTTACAATGATTCAATATTTTTCATTATCCCTACATATCACCATATTATATATATATATAAGGTTAGCTACAATCAATACTATTGCAGGCGCAGAAAGTACTTGCTCTTGAACACAAATATATTTGATCAAATTTTATGTACAGTTGATGATCAAATTGCAAGGAGAAAATTACCAGTTTTTAGTTTGGTATTAGACTTCTCAATCACTAATGTATGTTTGTTTAATCCATCTCTATCTTCCAAGTAATTGCATACTCTAGCTACATGGAATTGTACAATACTAATTTATGCCTTCTCGTTTTGTTTCCACTTCAACCTTGTAAACCTGCAGGGAGAGTGCCTTATTTTGTACTCTGAAATAGTCTCAAGTTTAGGTGACCATGTTTGTTCTTTTGATCCAACCAGCTGTTCATAATGCTTCTTCAACTCTGGAGTGCTACAAAGAAAACTATTACCAGGGCTAGTAGAACCTGCAGTTTGATCTTGATCCCCGCCTCTATTTATAAGCCTCGTTATGAATTCTGGCACAACCTTAATCAAAACCCTACCCTCAGCACCCTTTATGTACTGGAAAGGGGACTCTCCGAAATCAATAGGGGTTCGTTTAGGGCTAGAGCTGAAGGCTGCAAGAGAAGAAGCTGACAAAACATTGCATGCAAAGCAATCTAATGGAAGGACAAAGTAGGTTTGGCCTGGCATGAGCTCATCATCAATGGCTAGGGATGGAACAGGATGACCAATGAAGAAAGAATCTGCATGGCAGACCATTTTGTCTGGATTCTGAAACATGATCTCTCCAGCTATGTGTTTGTTGCTGCCAATTAAGATTCTAGTGGTTCCTTCCCAGAAGATTAGCTTCACCACCGAAGATCTTGAGCTTTGATGGAAACATGGAAACACTGCATATCCCATCTGAAGAGAGACAGAGATAAAATATATGAAGTTTGGATTGCTTGAGTACTTTTGGGTTTTGGATGGAGAAGATAAGATAGAGGAGGGGTTAAATATACAAGGGAGCCTGATTAAGGATTGACGAAGATAAAGTCTAGGTAAATGTTTCTTAAAGGGGTTTTGATGGGTCGGTGGTCATCCATGACGGCTTTGAACATCTAAATATATCAATCCTCTCACAGCTTCATGGTCTCAAAACTTCCAAAAAGGCTTGGTGGTTACAACTCACCCCGGCCAAACTGCTGACGAGAGAGTCAATATGCTAGCTAGCTAGCGATCCGTAGTAGTTAAAAAATATATACATAGTATAGTTTTAGCATCGCATCCAATGTTTCTTCACTTGTTATGTTGTTTTTGGACACGTTGGAGATGTTAAGTTTGTTTTATTTTATTTTATTTTTTTAAAAAAAACAGATCTATATATAATTTTGAGCATCATCTTTTCGTAACATGAAATGATCAAAGGGGAAATCTTATTGATTTTTTTTTTATTTAATTAGCATGATTACGAGAAATTGGGACAACTTCCTGGCCTTCTTTACTTTTCCTTAAGGATTTATAAGGTTTGTGTTGATTCAATTAATAACATCAGATTATATACATATAAGTTAAAAGCTCGGTGATATGAAGCTAGGCCTCGCCTGTCAAGCTATATATCAAAAACTTTGAACACTGACCATGCATTTTATCTATATTTATGTAAATCTACGATGAATTAATGATATATATGGTCATAATTCAATAGCCATAAATAAACATGTGCCCTCTTCCTTATTTCTTTATAGGGCGGACCACCGGGGACCTCATCATATGAATCAAGATACGATATGATCATAGTCTTACAGAAAATTAAAGACGTGGGTTGACGCAACCATACTAATAAATGGCCATAGCAACATTTTTATTAAATTTAGCCCTCTTGATTATAACACTTAGACAGCAAGCTAGGTAATTCTGCCATAACAAATGGTTCTACATGAAGTTATTGGTTGGATCATAATAATATATATCTTTAGCTTGGTGCTTATGCTATCCATGCCTTGGGTACGGCCGGAGGGATATATATCGGTGGTGGTCATGTGGATTTGCTAACATTCCACCCCTAGATTTATTGAAAATGCAGAAGCACTTAAGGTCAACTATTTATGTGGCTAGAAATTAGAGTTAATTAAAAAGGTGTAAGATAAAAAAACGAGTATCACATGCATGGAAGGAAAGATTTAATACTTTATTTAAAGGTGTAGTATTCATATGCATTCATGAAAGGTGAAAGATTTAATACTTTATTTAAAGGTGTATTCAAATGCATTCATGAAAGGCTGAATTAATTAATTTAAAGATGTATTTACTAAATATAATGATAATTCAACCGGAGGAAATGAATATTATATATTCCGGGTTAATCTATTGGCATTAATTTCCTCTATTTTCATTCTGCTAAAACGTTTATACAATCTCTTATCTCAAGTACTTCTGCCCTTCAACAAAGAAAGAGTTTTGGCTACTTAATTTAACTGCCCTTTGAGTTGTTGAAATAAAGGAAAAACTTGTGAACTCTAGCTCTTTAATTAGTTTACTGCCTCTACATAATGAAAAATTAATATTTAATTATATGCTAAGAGTCCTTCTGGTTAGATGAATGTCATCCTTGGATTGGAGGTTAATTAGGTTTCATTTAGCAAATTAAACGAAGAGGATGGCTTTTAAACGGCGTTATTAGCTTAACGAAAGAGCTTTGATTAAAATCAAACAGCTTTTACGGTTAATTCTAAGATTTTCTGAAATACGATTTTCTAAATTTCTTGAGCAATTTCTTCATTGACTTTTGAAGTAAATTTTGCATGAACATGGAAGGGAAGAAGAGAAATTCAAAGAAACTGACTTTTGTCATTTCTATGATTTTGTGCACCCATAAGGATATATATATATATATATATATATATATATTTCAAAATATTAATTTATTATTTTAATTCAAATCTAAATAAATTAAATTTACATTTTACGTATAATATAAAGGATCTAAATATAATTTTAAAATTTTAACATTCTTAAGTAGTCAAGAGTCAAGACTAAAAAGAACTTTAACTTAAAGTTAAAGTAATTCAACACAAACAAATATTAAAATATTAAGAAAATAAAATTTTTCAATACAAATAAAAAAAATACATCAAACATTTTCTTAATAATTAACATAAAAATAATGTATTAAAATTTAACTTCCTCATATTTGTTTCTTTTCTTCCAATGCTGTAAATATTTTAATTGTAGCATCACCATTATAAAATTTATTGGCACACTATAAAATTATTAAAAGTAATAAAAACTAAATTAAAAAAAATAGTAATTGTACAGAAACCATAAAAAAAAAAAAGCCCACAAAATTTAACTGCATCACAACTGTCACCAAAAAATGCTCATTAACTGCTGTCCTGGCAAAAGGTATTTTCATAAAGAAAACAAATGTATTCTCTCCAACCCAACTCAAGACAATGTTGAGATTGCCAGTAACTAGTTTCAGAACATGCCCACTCGCTAGACTTTCTGAACCACATTATCGTGCTCGAGGTTGAAGAATCTTCTCGGGTTTGGATCCGTGAGACAACCTGATACCTTTTCTCATCTCGGAGTGTTTTGTTACAGCATCGAGCAACCACCATTGGTTTGTTTGGAGAAATCATAGTTCCTCGACCACATGAAAATAGTCTAGCAAAATATTAACAGAAACAGAAAACATGGAACAAACTTGGAACATTTTAGCCATAATTCGGTCGAGAAATACAGAATAACTCGAGATCCTAAATAAGATGTGATTTATTCAATTTTTTTTGTTTTTTTCTTAATTGATACGATATATGCTGGTCATTCGAGCTGAAATGGAACTAAATTAACATCTTTTCTCTTATAGTTTTGGCCCTGTGACAGATTTAACATATATCTGCCGAAGATTGAATCATAAAGACCTAAAAAGGGTAAATTAGAAAATATTAACGGCGACAAAATTGACCTTGAATCCTGATTTTGACAATGCAAAGTATTTATTAGGATACGACTTTGTCTAGAAAGTTATGTATAAAGAGCAGTCCAAAAGTCAAGTTCATGCTATTGTCCAGTACATTGAACAATACTTATTGGAATTTTATTTTCATGAATTATCAAAACATTGAACAGCACTTATATGTGGGTAAGAAGATTACTGATGCATGCATGTACCGTTTCCAGTTATTGTCAATTAAACACAACGCAAATACTCTCATTAACCCAATTTAATTAGAATGTGTTCTAGATCGAATTAGAAAAGACTAAAACCTAATTAGAAGTCGTATGTTTAATTTTCTTTAATTAGAAGTCGTATGATGAAAAACACCTAAGGTGACAATTGTGTTAGCTTGTCGAGGATTGTTGTGGTGCAATGCCATTAGCTATTATTTTCTTTCTTTGATAAATTGGAGAGAATGCATGGATCTTAATACTTAATTTAGTTGTAGCCTTAACCATGCTCTCACAAATTGGGTTGGCTCTTATGGTTGGCCAAATTATCAACCTTTTAATTTTTAAAACTTGTTTAACGTCCAAAACCATAATGTGAACAAAGTTTTGATGGAATAAGTGTTGGTTTGTTTTTTTATTTTTAAAATATTTTTAAAATTTTATTTTATTTTTTATTTATTTTAAATTAATTTTTTTGTATGTTTTTAAATATTCAGCAATGCTAATGTTAAAAATAATTTTAAAAAATAAAAAAAATATTATTTTTATATATTTTTAAATAAAAAACATTATAAAAATAATTATTTTAAACAAGGTTGCTTGATCACCAACATCATCCGCGGAGAAAAGTGGCGCAAATTTTTTTCCTGGACGTTGCCAGTCTCCGTGATTGATCCAAGTGGATTCCCTCTAAATCTGGATACAGTAAGCAAATATTTTTGAAATAAGTTCGAAACTTTACAAATGTCATCACCTGTGACATCAACCAAATTGGCGTTTACCGATATGCATACAAGTATCTGAGCTATTTTGGCATTTCAAACATGTAAAGTTGCTATCAATCTCGTAATTCGTTGTTTCAAATTCTTATTATTGGCAGTCCAGTCGCAGGTTGACTTGCAAGTTGTATAGATGGAGTAAGGAGACCTTCGAAATGGACTTGCAAGTTGCAGATATCGTTCATTTCTTGCAACGTTCGCTCTGTGTGTGTGTATCCAACAACACGTAATGCCATGATTTGGCCACGTTGTCTTGAAATCTTAATTTGGGATGATTAAATTAGTTAACAGTCAACGGTAATGGTAAAGATTTAGTCCAAATCGAAACCTGACCAGAATCTCAGGAGCGTTAATTTTGTCTCCGTTACCACATTCTTGATTTTAAACCACAAAATTCGAATCATTCAACCAGAGGATCCTACACTGGAAAAACCTGCTTTGTAACAATGATGTAGTCAGAATTATGCAGTCTAACATTTTATTTATTCGTATCGTCATCATCTTTCGACCGTGTTTGCCCTTGAAAACTTATAATTGAAGGCTAAAGTGCCCATCTTTATCGACCTTGATCTCAATTTTTATTAATAATAGAGACGTGTCTAATGTATTCTCGATCATTTCACACGCTTTAATTCAAGGGGTATTTATTTATTTATTTACATTAGTCTAGTTTAAGAAATTTAAGTGCGAGCCAAACCTAATTCTTAAGAAACCTGTCAGAATCTTCTTCTTTTTTTCAATTTAATTAATCAGGCCAGCATCCATATGGACGGAAAGGATAATTAAAGAGTGAAGAAATTTCGATTGATTGAGCAAATCTTGCTAATT